CGATTTGTGGTCTGGCTATCATTAACTGAAGATTCGAGAGTCGGATATTTCTAAGACTGCCTTTCGGACCCGCTATGGCCACTATGAGTTCGTAGTCATGACGTTCGGACTCAGCAATTCCCTAGCAGTTTTTATGTACCTTACGAACCGGGTCTTTCATCCCTATCTGGACCAGTTTGTCATTGTGTTCATCGACGACATCCTGGTTTATTCCTGAGACATCAATCAGCACAAGGAGCATCTGAGGATTGTGCTGGAAACCCTTCGCCGCGAGAAGTTGTATGCAAAATTTTCGAAGTACGAGTTCTGGTTAGACCGTGTGGCGTTCCTTGGCCACATTGTGACAGCTCGAGGCATTGAGGTGGATCTCAGCAAGATCGAGGCAGTGAGCAAGTGGGATACGCCAAGAAGTGCCGCTGACGTTCGTAGTTTCTTGGAGTTAGCAGGATACTACAGGAGGTTTATCGAGGGCTTCTCGAAGATAGCCCAACCACTAACCAACCTTACGAAGAAGGCCTTGAGGTTTGATTGGAGTCAGAAGTGCGAGGAGAGTTTCCAGGAGTTGAAGAGGAGACTCACTACCGCGCCCGTCCTATCCATACCCGACCTTACTTTGGAGTTCACGATCTATAGTGATGCTTCAAAGATGGGCTTGGGTTGTGTTCTCATGCAGTAAGAGAGAGTCGTAGTCTATGCTTCGAGGCAGCTGAAGCCTAACGAGCAGAACTACCCCACTCATGATCTTGAGTTAGCTGCAGTCGTTCACGCCTTGAAGAGTTGGCGACACTACCTATATGGAGGCAAGTGTGAGATCTTTATCGACCACAAGAGCCTAAAGTACATTTTCACTCAGAAGGAGTTGAACATGCGGCAGCGTAGGTGGTTGGAGCTGGTCAAGGACTATGACTGCACGATTAGCTACCATCCTGAGAAAGCTAACGTGGTTGTCGATGCCCTTAGTCGAAGGAGTTATGGCCAGCTGTCTTGCCTATTCACTTGGCAAGATGTTCTGCTTCGGGAGTTCGAGCGGCTACAACTAGAGGCAGTGGAGTCGACTTCGGCAGCTGGGGTTATTTTGACCGCCTTGGTTGTGGGACCGACTCTTCGTCAGAGGATAGTCATCGAGCAGCCGAATGACCGTTTTCTGTGCCGGATGAAGGGTTTGGCGTTTCGTGGTCAGATTGGTGGATTCGCAGTTGCAACCGACGGAGCTTTACTCTTCGAGGGTAGACTTTGTGTCCCGAAGGTTTGGGAGTTGCAAAAGGAGATTCTGACATAGTGCCCCGTACACCGTCCATCCTGGTAGCACGAAAATGTATCAGGACTTGAGGAAGTCTTTTTGGTGGCGAGGCATGAAGAGGTAAGTGGCGAGGACCGTTGATGGGTGTCTGGTGTGTCAGCAAGTGAAGGCTGAGCACCAGAAACCGAGAGGGTTGTTGAAGCCCCTTGATGTTCCCATGTGGAAGTGGGAGTATATTACCATGGACTTCTTGGTGGGATTGCCTAGATCGAGGTCCGAGTATGATTCTATTTGGGTGATCGTGGATCGACTCTCGAAGTTTGCTCACTTTCTGCCAGTTCAGACGACCATGGTGGCGAGTGATTACACCGAATTGTTCGTCAAAGATATTGTTAAGCTTCATGGGGTGCATGTGGAGATTGTGTCTGATCGGGATCCAAAGTTCACGGGCCAGTTCTAGAAGACGTTGCACCGAGTCATGGGGACGAGGTTGGAGTTCAGTACAGCCTTTCACCCCGAGATAGATGGTCAGTCGGAGCGTACGATCTAGTACTTGGAGGATATATTGAGGGTTGTGGTCTTGGACCGGAGCCTGACTTGGGAGTGTGCCCTTCCGTTAGTCAATCTGACCTACAATAATAGCTACCACTCTTCGATCAAGATGGCCCCGTATGAGGCGTTGTACGGACGAAAGGTCCGGACTCCTTTGTATTGGGATGAGGTCAGAGAGAGGACGATCATGGGTCCAGAGTTTGTTCGGAGTACTGTTGCGACAGTCGAGGAGATCCGGAAGACCATTAGGGCTGCCCAGGAGAGGCAGAAGGTCTATGCCGACTGGAAGAGGCAAGAGTATGTGTATGCAGTTGGAGATCATGTCTTCTTTAAGGTTTCACCCATGAGAGGTGTGATTCACTTAGGGAAGAAGGGGAAACTTAGACCTCGCTATATCGGGCCGTTTGAGATCCTAGCTCGAGTCGAATACTTGGCGTATCAGCTAGCTTTACCACCAGACTTGTCGGGAGTGCACGATGTATTTCACGTCTCGATGCTTCGGAGATATGTGCATGATCCTGATCATTTGGTGGACTTCAGCGAGCTGCAGTTCGAGCGAGACCTTACCTATGAGGAGGTACCGGCAGCCATCTTGGACCGGAAGGTCCATCAGCTGAGGAACCGGGCAGTGAGTTTGGTGAAGGTGCGTTGGAGCCGGCACGACGAGTCGGAGGCGACTTGGGAAAAGGAGGTCGAGATTACGAGGCGTTATCCGAACTTTGAGTTTTGAGTTTCCTTTGTATTTTTATTGCTTTCTAGATTTTTATTTTCGAATTCCGGGGACGGAATTCTTTGTAAGGTGGATAGACTGTAATACCCCGTTTATTTGTGAAATATTTGAGATTATTTGTTTATTTATTTATTTCCTCATTATTATTATTATTGTTATTATTTAACGCTTAATTGCTATTATTATTATTATTATTAAATGTCTAATTGTTTAAATGCCTATTAATATTAAGTAAATGAATATTGTGTGTATAATATAGATATATATATGTCTCAGTGTTATTTTAATTTATCGTGGCTATCGTATTCGAACCATTTATCCGAGCGAGTCTTAAGTTTAAATCCCAGCCAATTAGTGTATTCTTTGTAATCATTTTGGGATCAATTATTTCAGCCCAATTTTTTTATTAATCCTAGACCCAAGTGGATTTTAATTACAACCCATTTGATTATAAAATGAGGCCCAACAAGAGTTAATGAGCATATATTTTCTTCTGCTCCAGACGATCGAATCCTCATCACCAACGGATCAAAACAGTTGTTACAATTTTTAAGCTCACGTTCTCCTCCTATCTCCCTCTCGCTCTGTTATATCTTCACCGAGGAGGATACTTTTTTAAACATTAGAAATCAGTCTATTTATCTCTCTCGCAGTACCAGCTTTCAAAAAAAAGGAGAAATCCTGTGCGTTTATTTTTTTTCAGCGACGTGAGCAGTTCCAGCCGATTCTGAAAGAACATTGGTTTGGCATCATGTCCGAACCAAAGTGTTTTCTAGAAGATTTCTTGTTGAGCAAGCAAAATAAATTAAAGGGAAGTTTTTCTATTTATTTACTTGTGATTTAATTAAGTTCCTAATATTTATTATTAATAATATATGGTATATATTTATTGTAGTATGTATTATGGAATCCTAATCCTTTAGGAGAAGGATTACATAATATATATCCTATATATTTACTTACCATGTATGCCACATGCCATAATTAGTTCTCTCTTTCTTGTAGAACAAGGAATAAGTGGTAATGACTATGAAAGGATG